TGTTTAATTCTGAAGCTGCCTCTGGTTAATTTCTTGGGAGGTAGATTGCCAACTATCCCTCCATCTTTTAGGTGGTCTTCCGGGGGGTCTTGAACCGGGCGGATTGTTTTCTAGGGCAATTTTTGGGAGTCTATTCTCATCCATTCATCTTACATGGTTGTACCACATCCTCTTGCGCTGCCTTCCCCATCTTACAATATCTTGAATTTTGCACTGCTCTCTAATGTTTGCATTTCTCACTCTGTCTCTTCCTGTTTTCCCCATTATTGTTCTTAGGGTTTTCATTTCGGCAACCCTTAGCATCTGTTTCGTTTTGTTGGTATCTTCGCGCACTTCTATGCCATATGTCATGATCGGTCGTATGCAAGTCTTATAGATTCTAATTTTACTATCTGTGCGCATATACGGATTTGACCAGACTATCTCCCGCAGACATCCTGACAGTGCAGATGCTTTGTTGATTTGACTCCTCAGGTACTTTACTGGGTCGTAGGTGCTTGATATATCTATGCCCAGATATCTGAATTGCATCACCTGTTCTATGGGGTTGTCCTCAACCACTAACTTACATCTGAGCGGATCTTTTGCTATTGTCATACATTTAGTTTTGTTGGTAGAGATGTTCATATTTAGTAGTCGGCTTGTTTGAAAGAACTGAAAGAGCTGCCTTTGGAGATCATCTTCTGATTCGGCAATAATTGCTGCATCGTCTGCGTAACACACCATACCAATTCTTTTGTTGCCCATTCTATATCCGAGATTAAGAGATGTTACTTTGTTGATAATTTTGCCCATGAGAAGATTAAATAAGAAGGGGCTTAAACTGTCGCCTTGTCTAATTCCTCCCGGTGTTGGAATATTTTCAGTGAATTCGTCTCCTGCTCTAACTTTGGTTACGTTGTTGTTATTTAGGTTATGGAGTATCTTTGTTATACTGGTCGGTGTTTCATTTTCTATTAATATATTTAGAATGTCTCCCAGGCGAACTCTGTCAAATGCCTTCGTCAAATCAATGAAGCAAATATACGCTGGCATGCCGAACTCTATAGCTTTTTCTTTTATTTGTTTTATTATAAATACTGCGTCTGTTATAGACCGCCCTTTTGTAAAACCTTGTTGTTCTTCAGCATTAATGATTTGCTTTTCCAATTTGTCCTTGAGAATACCCGTGAAAAGTTTCATTGTTGTATTTAAGAGGGTTATTCCTCTATAGTTTTGTGGGCAGGTTTTTTGTCCTTTTTTAAATATGGGGATTGTGATACTATTATGCCATTCCTCTGGTGTTTCTGTTTTGTTTAATATTTTGCTAAATAGTTGTGCCAGTTTACTTGCAAGTTCCGGCCTCCATATTTTAAAAGTTCATTGGGTATACCATCCGTTCCCGGTGATTTTCTATTTTTTAGCTTTTTGATCTTTGCTTCTACTTCTTCGTCATTGATTGTAGCACTCACATCTGTTTCGCCTTCGTTTATATTCAGCGTTTCTTCAGCATCATATAGCTCTTTAAAATGCTGTTGCCATGTCTCTTTAGGTACTCCTTTGGTCTGCACGAACTCTTTAACTGGTTTTTTCCTGTTGCGGAGCATTTTCCATACTTTCTTTTGGGCACCATATAGGTCGTAGTCCATGTCGCAAGTGAATTTGGCCCAATGTTCTCTTTTGATTGATTTTATTCTGGCGTTTACTTCGTTTCTTATTTGAACATATTCTGCATGAGCTTCTTCTGATTGCGTGCTTTTATATCTCAGGTAGCATTTGCGTTTTAATTCAGAGAGTTCTTTTACCTCTTGGCAAAACCACGGTTTGGTGTGGTTTGTCGCTCTCGTGTTAATTTTCCGCTTTCCAATCGCTTCTTCTGCTGCTTCGTTGATGCATTTCTTAATTTTTTGCCAAGTATCTTCTACTCCCCATTCGGGTTTTAAGTCGATCTCTTTTAGTTTGCTGGTAATCCTGTTCTCATAGAGCAGTTTTGTACTCTCTGTTGCTAGCGACTCTATATTATGTTTTTCGATGAACATTGGGGGTTTTCTGTTTCGTTGCGGAGGTTCTAGTAGCATCTTACATAAAACAAGGTTATGATCACTCCCCAGGTTAGCAGATGTTAGTGCTCTGACATCAAGTACTTGTGACGGAGTTATCGCTCGATTTGTGATTATAAAATCTATCATTGATCGCTGGCCTCGATTATTGTTAAAAGTGTATTTATGTTGGTCTTTATGAGGAAAGTATGTATTGTTGATTCTCATTTCATTTCTAGAGCAAAAGTCTATTAATTCTTCGCCGTTTTCATTAATTATGTAATTATCATTATATTGGGAATTTTAGAATTATATTGATTAAATAACTAAAAACATTTGATATTATTAATAATATAAATTTAATGAAATAACTCTTTAAGTCTAATATTCCACAAAATCATAATTTTAATTAAATACATTAGACAATTGTTCACAACTGATACGGGAATACTTCAAGTTTTAATGACAGTTCAGCGTGTGGCAAAATTATATAAAGTGTTGCCGCTTTTTTAGAGTAAGAATTTTGATTATGTTTTGATTTCTTTGATTGTTGTGTATTGTGATTGTGCTATGCCAAAACAACTACATAGTCTGTATAAAGCTGATAAGCTTTCATATAAGATATATTATATATTAAACAAGAAATAATGGCGGGACGTTTTTACTATTCATGCTCTAAAGAGCTAAGTTTAAAATTTAGAATATATAATTTTGTATTCAAATGTTTTCTAATGTATTTTAGTGTGTTGCAGTAGTCTTAAAACTGAGTGTATTTGCTGTTAATATAATAGTTTGACAAACAGTTGACATTTTAAAAATTCCTCACTTACTAACTATTCTGATGTTTTGGCAACGCTGGGAGGTTCTGACGTCGTAAATCTTGAATGATGTGCAAGCATTTCTATATGAAAAATACTATAAAAGTGACGTTTTGTGAAAAAGCGAGATATGTGCAAGGGTAACCAGAGGATGTGTATATTTATTGATGTAAAAATGGTACAAGTACAAATTGCACTGCACTACGTACATCTGTATGTGAGAAGTAAAACTCTCGATTATTTCTGGTTATGGTTTTCTGTATAAGTGTACCAGTGCACATGGCTCGCTTTTGTCCTAAACCATACGCACTTGTTTGTGACAGTCTCGTTTTAAAAGTGTGCAGGAATATTAATAATTTTTTGTAAAATAGCATTAAAATAATAAAAAGTATATTTTTAATGCATTTTATAGAATCCATTGATATTTTATAGTGTCCATACCTCCCTTTCGTCTTTTTTCACTTAGAGGCCGATGATATCTCATTTTATGTTTTCAGCTCTTCTTCTAGTTCCATCATCTTCTGGTCTGATATAGGAGTTCTAACAGTGTATGAAGTAATATGCATTTGTCGCTCTTTGTAGTAGCCTGATTTTTTCCGGGGATTCTTAGCACTCTCTGCTCCAAACCTCTTCCAATCGCTTCCTTGGTTGGTGGTGTTGGAGCCGCCGGTGACTGAGGGCCGTTTAGTAGTTTCGTCGTTCATGGAAAATAACTTTTGGGGTTTTAAGCCATTAAAATGCCATGCTTGGCTAGTGCGTGTGGGCGAGTTGGTGTGAAAGTGGGGGAAGGAAAGGGTGGAGATGGGAATGCTTGGGGTTTATACATGAATCCTCTGAAGATGGGAGGCTGAGGAAATCTATGAGCTCGCGTGGGCAGGTATGCTATTCCTAAAGTAGATCTATCCCCTGGCAGAATCGCAGAGATGTATCCACCCGCTACCCAGCACGTAGGCTATATAAGCAAGTTAATAAAGGCAAGGACTTAAAGGGCACATACTTGTAGTAGTTGTGTCTGTCAAAATTGACCGATAAACAAAGACAGGAAGTATTTAACCAATTCTGGGGTCTAAATCAAATTGAAATCTGCATTACATCTTGTACAGAGATCGCTTTGTCCAACGACGACTTACAGAAGCTTTTACCACTACAGCAAAGAGCGTTACTGTCAAATTAAAAAAAATGAGAGTTTGTAAAATGTTTTTCTTAAGAACCTTGGATATCAGCAGTGGACGTTATTTGAAACCTTTAAATGGGATTTTTGACGTCGGAATCACCGCTGTTGATAAAAGAGGAAGAGCTCCATGTCCTAATAAACTATCAAAGGATAAGCTAAAACGACATATAGATATGTTTCCAAAAAACCAGCCATTACATTTTACATTACAATCACCATAGACGGTATCTTTATTTATTTTTGATCATAAGAAAAATATATAAGTGGTACCCAGAGCATTTTTAAGAAAATAACAAAGCTCCTATCAAGGAATGGTGCTATAGGAGTCTTTATTACCCAATTAAGTTTTCATCATTCCTTGTCTGATACTTGTAATAAGTACTACAAGTTTGAAACATCAATAAAATCGTGTACAAATGAGTCAGATAAAAATAAAATAATGTGCGATAGAGAGCTTCATCATCTAATACCCGAATCGGGAAAAGAAGCCAAAAAAGACAAAAATGGTGACCGAAACTTCAAGGAATGAATTAGTGGTATCAGCTAATTTCAATCTGCAAAAAACTTAACCTACATCAGCACTTATAACCAACAAAGTGTTTCATAAAATATGCGAATATTATGGACATATAATTGTGGGATCTATAACTTGGGCAAGAAATGTGCTTCTATGTATACTATATGGGATAAATCAATTGCATCCAGAGACTCTGAAAGTTTCTTCATGTATTTGAAAACATTTTGAAAGCTGTATTCTAAACAGCAATGTGTTAGCCGGTAGAAACCTCAAATAAAGAATCTATTTTAAAATATATAAATAATTTACAACAAGATATTAAAAATGCCAAAGTTTAAGGAAAGATAAAGGAAAGATTAAGGAAAGATTTAGGTACCTGTCGTTGTAATTTCAAATAAAATAATTGTGTTAATATGGTAAATGTTGGCGTTAATATGTTCTGATTTTCTTATTTATTAAATTTTGTCTTTCAGCATCCTGAATGTGAATGCAGTCACCATACGTGCGGTCCAAATTGCGAGAAATGTTGCCCTATGTATAACCAACGCCAATGGGGCCCAGGATCCGCTAGAGATGCCAGACAATGCTTGCCTTGCAACTGTCACGGACACGCTACAAGTTGCCACTATGAAGAAGATGTTGATAGATCCGGCCTTAGTATGGATATTCACGGAACGTATCAGGGTGGAGGTGTATGCGACAATTGTACGGTAAGGCTTTATTCGAATTGTCTATTTTGAATTGTTCAAAATTTTCTCGTACTTAACATTTGAAAAGTCTAACTGTAACAGTTACGTTCTCCCCTTTTTAAAATTTTACAGAAACCGAAACAAATAGCTGAAATGGCAAAAATCAACATTTTATGGCGTTTTTAACCATTTTTGCATATGCGAATGTTTGAAAATTCATAAAATTCGTTATTTCCTCTGAAACAAAATTTAAGTAAGAAGGATGCAATATAGCGTATTGGAGATTGTTAGTTTTAGTATATCTTGGGACTATAGAACTATATATCTTGGTAATTTATAAACATAAAAATATATGTCATTTTAACAGTAAAAAATGTAAAAAAATAAGAAATTTAAGTAAAGATGTAAATTAATATAAAAAAACAATCAGTTACAAATAATTGAAGCACTTATTGACTAGTTTTATCCAAAAGCCACGTCGTTTATAAAACAAGATATTCAGTAAGATCGTTCGTTAAGGATGTACCATCTCTCCCACGTTATTCAATATATACAGTGTGTAAAAGCCAAATGGAATAAATTCATTATTTAGGTTATTGTACAAATTTATAAAAAATCCCGAAACACTTTAAATTTAAATTATGACTTGACATTCTTTAACGTGAAAATGCAACCCCTACCTTCAACCCCCTTAGAATGGCAGGTACAACCCCCAATTCTTAAAATAGGAAGTATAGGCTTGTGATATATCGTTTAAAAGGTCTTTTCATTATCCATTCAAAAATTTTATCGCTTTCAAGTTTATTAAGATTAATTAAGATAAAATAAATTAAAATCATGTGGTTACCGAAATTCGCGACAATACAATCAAAAACTAAAATGTAATGCAAAACGTAATAAAATGAAGAACACTAGAAGAAGACTATTTCTCGTTCCTCATTTGCTATCGGATCCTTTGTAACCAACATGTACTTGGTTTTGTCTTCGTTGATGACTAGACCGACCTGTTTCGCCGCTGTTTCCAATTCTAGGAGATATTGCTCAACATCTCGCTTGCTACGCCCTACTGTGTCAATATCATCAGCATATGCTAGAACTTGTATCGATCTATTGTAAATAGTACCGCCATCCCTAATTCGTGTATCTCGGACTGCCTTTTCTAAGGCAATATTAAATAGGAGGCAAGCCAGAGCATCCCCTTGTCTGAGTATATCCTTTATCTCAAAGGATCTAGAACTCTCTCCCTGTATTCTAACAGTGGCTTCTAAGTTAGACATTGTCATTCTCGTTAGTCGGATAAGTTTCTCTGGTAAACCAAACTCATGCATTGATTGGTATAGCACTGTTCTCTTGACACTGTCGTATGCGGCCTTGAAGTCGACGAATAGGTGATGGGTTTCAATATTGAATTCTAATGTTTTCTCGAGAATCTGTCTTATTGAATGAATCTGGTCAATTGTTGATTTTTCTGGAGTGAATCCAGCTTGATATTTACCAACTATGCCCACTGTGTAAACTTGCAGCCTTTCGTAGAGAATATTTGCTAGTATTTTGTAAGCAGTTGTTAACAGGGTTATACCTCTATAGTTGTCACACTGGAGCCGGTCACCTTTTTTATGTAACGGGCATATCACGCCTTGAGACCATTCACAGGGCATGGTCTCATTATGCCAAACAGGAAGTAAAAGCTTATGCAGTGTCTGTAGTAGGGCATCGCCATCATTCTTGTAGAGCTCACTGCAAATTTGATCAACTCCTGGTGATTTATTATTTTTAAGCTTTTTAATGGCTTGGGCAACGTTTTCGATGGTTGGTGGTCTTTCGTTTGGCTTCTTCGATACGATGGCCATTAAATTTTGCATCGAAAAATTCAACCCATCTGTTTAGGATTGAGGCCGTATCATTTAGGATGTTTTCTTCTACATTCTTACAGCTCCTTATTCTTGGCTTAAACTCTTTGCGCATTTTGTTTAGATTTCTGTAGAACTTTCGAGTTTCATTTTGATTTCTTAGCCATTCTGTGCTTTTCAACTGCTTTTGCTCAAATTGTCTTTTTTTTTCTTCTATGTGATCAATTTTCTTCTTTTCTTTGGGTTCGGTATTCTTTCTTTGCTCTTCTTGTGCATCCAGCTTGATTTGTCTTTAGGTATGCCCTGTTTTTGTTATCTGTTGCTTCTTGGCACTCCTTGTCAAACCATTCGTTTCCTTTAACTGGTTTGGTTTTCCCCAATATTTTTGTTGCTTTCTTAGTTATTATGTTTTTACATTTTGTCCACAGTTCCTCTACATTTTCTCCCACCTCCAGGTTCTCCATTTCCTCGTCCATTTGTCTCCTATACTCTCTCGCAACGGTTTTAATGCGCAACTTCAAAATATAGGTCGTCTTAAAAGTGACATATCTGATTTTTTTCCTCTACCCTTGAGTTATACCTTGAGATACTGGAAAAAAGTCTTGTATTTAAAATGGGAGGTTCTTCTGCAGCATGACATTCTTCCTCGTCCTCTTCTCGTATGTCAACTTGTGGTCTTTCCAAAACATAATTGAACATCTATGTTTTTTGGCGCAGAGTGATCTAACCAATAGTTTACCACAGTACCCAGTACAAGGCGAATAACACTTTTTAAGCTATCTGCACCACTCTGGTATGTCCCTTGCTTAGTTCTCCAGTTGATAGCACCAATCTTCTTAGCATACTGTTATGCAGTCCATTAACCTTAACTTTGGTCTACCAAACCAGATGTTGGCTTTTTGGCAATCAAAAGTTAATATTAACATGTTTTGTTTGTCTTCTTAAATAACTTGGTAGAATGCTTTATATTTTAATATATGCACTGGTTTTTTTCTTAAGCGTGGTTTTAGTTATTAGTTAATTATCTTTACATAAGGGATAGGAGAAAAAGATAGCTTAAGTACACTACTATTATTTATAATAATATATTAAATAACACCAAAAGACGAACAGAAAACTTATAACAACATCTTAAAGGATTTTGTAATTCAAATGTTTTTAAAGTGAAATTAATTATGTTTTGTAACTCTGAAACATTGTTTTTATCAGAACGGTGTCGTCCACGTACCTATTTTTAGGAAAAACAAAGGAAATTATTTGAAACAGAAAACCTAAAATAATATAAAGAATACACCCATAATGATATTACAGTGGTTTAAAACTCTCTTGTAGTCGCATGTTTTACCCTAGTTTTTAAAATATATCACATCGGCTTCAACTCAATTTGTCCTAAATGTTTTCCCTGCTATGCATCAAAGTACGTGTTTATGTACGTCGTGATGCATTTTATTTTAAAAAGTATGCAATTTTTCTCGATGGAAAAGCACTCTAAATTGTTATGGAGAATACAGCAAGATTTATTCTCAATTTTCGTTCCACTATCACTCAATGTTTTAATGCTCTTTTAAAAGCATAGGATGTAACATAGATCCCAGAAAACTTATAGTGGGTTTAGTAAAAACTAAAAAAGTTTTCGGAGTATTAAAAAGGAATAATTTGAATACGAACATTCTATTAACCGTTATGTAAAATGTATTCTACGAAATACACTTTTTTGCACATTACTGATTAACTCTTCGATTTTATTTGTCCAGTCGGTATGGAAAAACATAGCTTAGCGAAAGCTTGTTTATGACTACAAGGTTCATATGCTTCTCTACTGAAAAAGTTATGAAACGAAAAATTTCAGGACAAAAATCGTGGATTTAGACATATATTTTTTAATCTTTTATACTGAATAATTGTTAAATATACTGCGAGGCATAAGTTAGGGATATTGCCAATATAATGATGGTACTTCATTTTACATCAATTATTTATTAAAAATTATTAGTTTTTAAAAAACATGAAAATTTGAGACCTTATAAAGAGAAGCAGACCAAAAAAACATTATAAGTATTGACAAAGCATCTTTGCAGCAATTTAAAAATAACCTTTGTTCTCTCAAATGGGATAAACAAATAGGGGAAAGGTGGGCAAAATGGGGTACGTAAGATTTGAACTTACATATTTCATACACGGTATTAAAAATTATTTGTTTTAAGCTGTAAGCGTAATCTCTATGAAATAATAAGTAAAAAAATAATATTGCGTGACATAGTAGTTTTGACGTTTCTGATGTATACTAATATTTTGACGCGTGTGTCATTTGCTCCATTTTGCCCCACCTATGGGACAGAACAGGGTACCTCCTAAAAGCTAAAGTCAGAAGGTAAAAAATATCTTTATTTTTGTATTCATAAGTATTGAACAATAAAATACATATGTATCTTTAATTATTTTCGCATAGAGCGCATAAGTGTGTAGCATCATCGTCATCTTCATCAACTCCTGCACACGAATTATGTGCCCATTTGGAGCATGATCGGCAACGAATCCACCCTTCTTCAGAGAAGTCATGGCAGTATAGACACTCTTCTTCACTATCAGATGAAGCAGGAGTAGGAATTGGCATTTTTTTCTGAATAGTAGATGATGTTTTTTGTTGTTTGGCTGGTTTAACAGTGCCTTTAAAAAAAAACACAGAAGTTGAGAGAGTCTTAAGCTCGAATACTTGCACGTGCAAGTATTCGAGCTTAAGAGACATGTAGTCCTTAAAGTAAATTTTAATTTAAAACCAAATCCACTGTCATCGACCTAGACTCTCAACATTATTAAATGTAAAATGTGATAAATTTTATACCAACACATGGAAGTCTTATAGACACCATATTGTTAGCACCAAATACCAAAGGCACTGAAGATGATCTGTAGAGATTGAAAACGTTCTGCCATAATTTTAAATGTTGACGACACTTTTTTTAAAAAGTTTTTAAGTACTTGTATGTTTTTATACCAAAATACACAATTGTGAAGTGTTTTAACTTCTGTGTTTTTTTAAACGATAGTATACAGCCAATTACGGGGTTTTTCCCATTAATTTAGTGCCTTTTTTATTTTTAAGCAGATTTCTTTTTACGGTTTGGTCTGCTTTTCCTTGCCTTTGATTTTCAGCATTCCGCAATTCGTCCT